CCTCTAATCCCTTTTTTCCATCAGTCCTGTGGTGACTGTACTGTCTGACCTTGGCTACATGCTGCTGAGCTCATCTGTCCACCCAGGCTTTTCCTGAGCAGGTGGTGATCCTCTCAAGCAGGGAGAGGTTCTTTTCCTCGCTTGCAGTTTTGAGTTCCTCATGTCCATTCACGTGCCACTGTATGAAGAGGAGCTGCGAGTGCTCTTCAAGCCCCAGGCTGCATTTTTTCAGAAAATACTGTGGACTCCTGTGTGAGCTGCTCTGTGATGCTACGCTACCCCTGTGCTTTGTGGCTGTGCCAAAAAGTATTTACTTAGCTACATTAGAACAGCATATAATTTAATTATGTTCAAGACAAGCAAGCATATCATAGTCCTTATCCTTCAGGAGGTATTAGAGAAGACCACAGATTGATATTTACTTTGTTCAGTTGATATTTCTCTCATCTGTCCTTAGACTCTATGAGCCTTGCTTCATCAGCACTAGGGTGGTGATTCGCCCTCTCTCGATGGTGTGTAGATAGTAAATTAGATACACAACAAGCACATGCTCAGGTGCATTACTGTGCAGTGGTAAATCTGCCATGGAGGTGCTTGCACACTCCAACAAAGAAGAAGAAGAAGGGAAATAAGGAGAATATACTTTTCATTTTTGCTTTTCATTCCTTGAAGTTCACTTGCCAGAACAAGATGATGGTGTGAAACAAAGTCATGCGTTTGCGCTCAGGGTAGTGTTCAAATTATTTGGAGACTTTGCAAGTGTTTTAGAAAAGGTTCCTACGCTAAACGTAACAGTATATTTGGGCAGCAAGCATAGAAGATGCAGGGGCAATTTCATATATGGCCAGCCTTGTCTACCAGCATAACAAGTTCAGCTCAGTATCTTGTGAGAGAGGCTCCCAAGCAGAGCCCATGCAGTTTGCCCATGTAAACATCTAATGCCGTTTGAGTGCTCCTCTTCTAAAAGAATCAACTTAAAATAACTTGAATCAACGCTTGATGCAGGCCTTCATAAGTCTTAGAAAATTAACGATTAACAAAATTATCAACAAAAAATAATTTATTTATGTTGCCCTTCTAAAATTAACTGCCAGAAAAAAAAAAAGCAAAAAGTTTCAGAAATAAGTGTCTCATGGCCAGATTGGAATCACTGTCTATCTGTGAAACAGTGCAATGATGGCATTCATTTGGTTTTCTTTCTGAAGCATCAAAATGTAGGTCTGATATTTTGGGAACCGTAAGCAGGTGTCTAATCTGATTAACAGAATGCTAGACTACTTCATTGATAACCTTTGTTGCTATTATTAGCAGTATTTGATCCATAGTTCTATTGTATTCTAATGTGACAACAAATTTCAGAATAATAGGTAATAAACAGTAAAGTCATCAAAGAAATTATCATAGGGTAGGCATTTTTAATTCTGGAAACATTGACTGCTTTCCCATACGTGCAAAAACTCTGTGGCTGGATGTGCAATTCAGTGTACTGAGATATTGTACGGGCTTCAGAGTGCTGTCTTTGGTAGATTAAACTCTGAGAAAATAGTTAATTCCTTCTCAAAATAGCTTTACTATCATACGGCAGTACTCGCAGTACTGTGTTGTTGAATGTTTGGATCAGATATTAGGAGTCAGAACCACTGTATTTTCTTCTTGGCTCATTTTTGGACTTTGTGACCCATCAAACTGTTTCATGAAGGCAGACACATCTGTTTCCACTCTTAGTACATCCAGCTCCTGGGATAACACTGGGATGAATTATATAGCGATTTACAAGATAATGGGTCTTCTTGCCCTAATTTAATGTCATATCTCAAAGGAATTGTGTTAGGCAAGTTCAAATTAATGCACACTCTTAAATGCTTTAAATTACTTTTCAAGCACTAATTACATGTTTTGTGGATGCATGTTCACATGCAGTCCAATGTTCTGAGATCTCAATGAAGAACCACGCAATGCACTGCAGGCCAAAACCTAAAGAGATATACTTTAAAAGGACATATAGCGATCATTTAGGTAGATACGTAACGGGAAGAATCTGATAGATTATGACAACCCTGGAAAGCATTAAAGACTCATTCATGAGGCACTTTGCATGTTAGTGTAATCTCCCTTCCTGATCACCTGCTCTTCCAATCAAGCTGAAAGCAGCTGTTTTTCATGGCTTTTGCGGTTGTCTAGAAATTGACTTTTCAGGAACCACCATACAGAGTAATTTCTGAAAGTGAAACAAATTTTAAGAACATAAATCTGTCAAAGTACAACATGAAAAAATACTCCAAACATTGTCTTTACATATAGACTTATTTTTAAAATCCAACCTATCTTAACAAATCACTTACGTAAGGTTGCTCTGTCCGTCTGTGGTGTATAGGTATATTTACATGAAATATGTTCATACAGGCACATTTCTGCATCCAGCATGCCCTCCCCCCCAAAAAAAAAAAAGTTTTAATGAAATTAGAATTATCTTTGAATTGCCCCATATTCATCTACTGGAGCCAGATATTCACCTAAATGTGAATTGGCAGTGTTCCACTGAAAACAAAGTTGGGCTTGACAGGAGCCAAAACGGCCCGAGGTGTGTGTCAAGGCTGTCTGCAGTCTGTTCCAAGATATCACAATTGTAGCTCCATGGAGACCTCTGCACTGACCAGGAATTAAATTGGATACCATATGCTTTGCTGTGCCCCAAGAATGCCTCTGTCGCTCTGCTTTGCGGAAGGCCGAGGGGCAGGTGGCATAAAGCTGGCAGCTGGTGTTTCTATCAGGAGTAATTATTGGCTCCACTGCTTGGGCAGGTTTCCAGCTTGTTTGGGCTTCTGAAGTAGCAGCAGAGCTCAGCAAAGCCTTGAAGTTGGTGGAGTGCAAAATTCAGAAGAATGTTTTTTCTATTTTTTTTATTTTTAATGTAAATTATCCATCATTTCAATAAGCAATGCAAGCTAGCTATCTCAGGATAAAAGCATTCTCTTTGAATCAGATGTGCTCTGCTTTTGACAGCATGACGAAGCAGGTAGTACAATATCAGAGACTGAGAAAGGTAAATTATATCTCTGTTTCCTTGCAAGCAGAATGTTATTTCAGCTGCAAAACTCTAATCCACATGATCTAAGGGTTTTCATTTTCTCAAATGGGTTATTGGAAAGAAATAAAAAGTCCTTCATAGGAGAGAATATGTTTCTGCAGACTAACTTTGTGGTATATTTAATTCCCAGAATTGATTAGTTGATGGTAAAAAGCAATCATAACCCTCAACAGGATGAGATAACTTTAATTGATCATTTGTTTTGACAGTGATGCAAGCCTATGAATCAGCGAGAGTTGTGTAACATACTTCATACAGTACTTCTAAAAGGGGAGGATGTGTTACTATTATTAGTAGAAGTGTAGTTTCATCGCCCGAGCACCAGGCTGGCAGCCAGAAACCCTGCCTTCTAATTCTGACTCTGTCTGTGCCTGTGGTCTTGGGAAAAACAACCTAAGAATTTCTGCCTCAGTTTCCTTATCTGTACAATTTAGATCATGGAAAGGCTGTTGTTTATGAAGTACCTTGTTTTGCACATGCACATTTTGTGCATATTTTGCACACCGCAAATGAAGAATTGAAGGTGCAAAATGTTAATACCTTTTCAGCTAGAATCCAATCCAGTTAAAGAAAACTGCTGCCCCTGCAGTTAAAGAAAAAACACCCACTGACTTTAGTGAACTTTGGGCCACCATTCACTGAAATCCTAGAGAACACATTGCCAGCCCTAGTCAGGCTTGTGAAACAAAATAATAAAGCATACATTGATTTCATATGTAAAGGTTTGCTTTGGAAAATGAGCTGAACAGATAGCTAGAACTCAGATACAACTAGCTATGTAGTTTAGCAAATTATTAATGTAACTTTTCTCTTGATAGGCTTGTACTTCTTGACCCTTTCCTGAAATAAGCCATTATTTACTTTAATCCTGATCTTATAATCCTACTGTCAGAATTACCATTCATTTGAGTAGGACTAATGAGGAAGGACAGCACATCCAAAGAAGAGAAGGCATTGTATTATTTCTGCACTATACTTCCTACTCAGAAACATAGCACAAAGGCAGATTTATTTCCAGTTGTGGAGATAGAGTTGTGGCATGCTCAAGTAGATAAGCAAGATAGAAGCAAACGTTATAAAGGCAGAGGAGTCTACCCAACAAAATGATCTATACGCTCCAAAAGGTCTGTGGAAACTTGCAGTCCCATCATGGTGGAAAGTTCAGGATTTTTCTTTCTAACGTGTCATTTATTCCCATGTCCTCTTCACATGTCCCTAGTGATGACTATCTATGTTAATCATTGCTGCCACAAATTAATAGGCTCAGGGGCAATCTGCTGGCCTGGACTGTCCCAGGAACTGCCCATGTTCACACTCGCTATCTTATATATTACTACTTCTCCTGAGGTCTTGAACTGGATGTGGAAAGGGTCAAATGCTTTTGGCAATGAAGCCCAACCTGAACTTGATTTTTCCTGGTGCATCTCTGCCTGGTCAAAATACGTTGCTTTGTGAGTCAGTTTCATGGCCATATCACACAGGAGGGCAGGACACTTTGGATGAGGATCTGGAGAGCAATGCTGTTGAGCGTTAATGGCAAAGCTTATCTGGGCCATGACAAACTCACAGCTGGGACCCAGCCTACACCCTGGAAATGCTTGAATTGCTGAGAGGGTGATCTCAGAGGTGATGTACGGTTTCAGAATCACAAGGTATATGCATAGGCTTATACTGTCCTTTAAAAAGGCGGTTTCATGTTCCAAGTAAAAGACTCAAAGTAGAAGAATTATATAAATAACCAACTTAATCTGGTAGAACATTGAAGGGCCTAAGTGGCTTCTGTTTGTCTAGCCTATACTTCCTTCAGGTTGGCAGTGTTGCAGATCCAGCTGTAAACTTTGTTCTACTCTGTTAGCATTTGCATTAATTCTGCTATCATAAAAGATCTTTAGTTGCCTGGGTAGAGGCTGTCTCTGCCCGGGGTTGGCCATGGCAAACTTAGTAAGATGTCCCTCCATATCTTTGCAGAGGAGTAGGCTCACCCGTTGCAAGGGTGACAGCACTGCAGAATCTCAGAGGTTTCTGTAGGTTGAACTGGGCCCAGAGGAACATGAAGAATATAACCTGCAGAATGTTACCTCCTTTAATCTACTCTTTAGAACTTTTGTTTTCTTGGAGTTTCTTCTTTATCCTTTTATTTACTGCATTATTGCTTGTAAAGTTGTTGTCCATTTATTTTCTTGCTTAATAGTAGTTTCAGATTGGTTAGTATTGTTAGCAAATTCCACTAAACAACTGTCATCTAACGTTGCCTTAGGTTGTAGACCTAATATATAAGTAACATTATTTATAGGAAAATATACATGTAAAGTTCTAATATATATCTAGCAGTTGTTGAAGTGATAACTCCATTACAGAAGGATTGTGTATCTGTTAATAAATGTCAACTACAGTACTCACATTCCTCCAGCAAGCAGATGCAAGCTAAGGGTGTTGATTGCTCCAAGAGCTGCCTTTGCCAAACCTGTGCTTTAGCATAGAACAAATCTGTGGGCTTTTGTTTCCAAAGAAGGGTTCCAGTCATCAGCTCTTACTGTTGTAAATAGTCATTGCTCAGCAGAGGACACCTGTGCTACCAAATCTAATACAGAGCAGTTCAAAAGATTGTGTTTTTTCTAGTTCTTGGCACAATTTTATTTTTAGATAATTAGACACAAAGTAATTTAATGATGGAGAAGGTCGATTTGCTTCTGATTGTCATGCTGTGTAGTGGAAATAAAGTGAAGTGGAAATTCTAGCAATGAAAGATATGACCAAGATGCAGTAACACAGCTATGAATTGAGCTGTGAGTTGTCACTTGCAATATAAAATGGAGAGCAAAAAAATGATCACGATGCTAGCTGGATCTTATATTCTCTTTCAGTGCCGCCCATCCAAAGGCCGAAAAAGAGGGTATTGCTGGTGTGTGGATAAATACGGACAGCCACTTCCTGGCTATGACGGGAAGGGCAAGGGAGACGTCCACTGCTATAACTTGGAAAGCAAGTGAAGGGCCGTCTGTTCCGGCGCCTGCACGTGGCAGTTAGACAACGCACCAGAGACCTTGGAGGGGCAAGGCGAGCACCACGGACTGCGTCACACGTGGAGCTGTGTGTGTCCTCCCGCCTTGCCGCAGGAGCTGCTGACCCTCGGGACTCTGCAGCTGCACCGCCACTGACACGCTTTGGGCTCCCTATAGCACGTGTAGGGGCCTCTGACTTCCCACATAAAATCTGCACTATTGATCCCCAGAAAGAAAGAAAGAAAAAAAGGCACTTCAGAATGGATTCAGGGAGTCTCCACTGACTTTTTAAAGAACGGCCTGTGACCAATTTGATCCCGAAAGATACTGTGTTTTATTTTAAAGAATTTATAGATTGTAAGCTTGTAAAAATATTAAAGCAACAGCAACAAAAGCAAAAAAAAAAAAAAAAAAAAACACAAGGATTTAAAGTTTAAGCTTTTTTACAGGTCTGACGGGAAACTTATCTTCACGGGTAAAATGTTTTATAAAAATCTCAAAGAACTTTTTAAAAAAACGTATTTCTAAAATAAAGACATGGCTATTTTTTCTGTAAAATATATTATGAATATTCTGTTAGTCTGTATTTAATATAATTGTTTTTTAATAAACCTTATTTAAATGTAACATGTGAATACCAAATATTACACAATAATTTTAGCGTAAACTTATGTATGCAAAAAGAAATTGAGGGGATGGGGTGATTTACAAATATGTATAGAAACATACGCATACACTGACCTATTCTAGATGATAGAAATGGCGTTAGGGAGTGAAGGAAGTGTTTCCAGAAGAGGTTAAATTTCCTCATTTGAAATAGCTACCAAGATTTTATTTTTTTTTTCTTTTTCCCCCCATTTTATTGATATTTCTAATGCACCCATCACTGAATTATGCCACTGGAAAGAATGACAGTTGCACTGAAGCTCTCTGTAAAGCATCCTCCTGCCTGTCCTTTGCTTCAGTTAGTGCAACAGAGCTTAAATTTCCTCCAGAACAGTCTGTGCTAGTATAAAATAGTCACGGACAAAAAAAAAATTGCCATTACAGTATGACTCTGCCTATTTATTTTTAAAAGCCTGTATCTATTCTCTGTTGTCTTGATATGCTCTACCAAAGCACATACCCTGCATGAGAAACTTCTGTTTAAGTCAATGTCAGCAAGATGGGAGATACGGACCCGGTTTTGACACCTGTGTGCTTCATTTTGTGCTACCACATGATCGTTGCTTTGACTTTGGTGGAAGGGATTTGCCTGCATTCAAGCATAGAAAACGAGCCAATGGGCGGAAATATTTAAACCATTGCTCTACCATGGTGTTATATGTCCTTTTAATCACAAGAGAAATGTGTTGGTTTTGTGCTGATACGTGATGCTTTCACATCAGGAAGACCTTGGCACCAATTTGAGGCTGACTGTTTTATTGAACTTCATGACTAATTCTGTATGATGATGAAATTTGGACAAGAAAAAGCAGCCTGTGAAATGTAACATCTCTCTTGGAAAGTAATGCCATATTTTGTATGTGTATTTATTTATATATTTTATATAAATATTTTATATATTTATATAAATATATAATATATTCTTATATGTGTTACTATAAATGTTTGATGTCATGGGAGAGGGGTTGAAAAAACAAAAAACACCCATCAGCAGCGTGCTTTCCTGGTGGATCAGGAATTCAGTGCAAGTTAAGGACTGTAATCCTCCCCTCCACCCAGGGTGGCCGAATGCTCGCATAGGGCGACTGGTGTTTAGGGGAGCCACAGAAAGGGAGCCTGGGGCAGGCAGGGGCTGTGAGCTTGCAGACGGGAGGGAGAGTGTTAATGTGTGGTTTGTAGGATTAAGGCCCCTGGTCACTGCAGATCAACTTTCAAATTTTGCCCTTAAAAGGTATCTATCTGAAGCATCTTGTGGAATACCCCTAATTCCTATCTTATGTGGTAGGCTGGCGTCCTCAGTGAAACTGAAATTTTAAGTCTGGGGAAGAGGAAGGGGTAGTGGGAAATGTAGGTGTGAGGTGAAGCATAGTCCAAGCTAATGCAGGCTTCCCAACAGATGGAGAAACAGAAAGCTTTGTAAGGTTATGATGTATTGCGATTTTTCCACTGCTATCGGGAATGAAATGCCTGCAAAGATTTTCTGGCCAAATTATAAACCATTTCCTCTCAAGCAATGTCATACAAGGAAGAAAATTATATATAGCAGTATTTGGGCTTGAATTCACTGGAAATTAGTCTGTATTTAACCTTTTTATTAAAAAAGAATCCTAAACTCATGAGCCTTCAGAAAAACAGTATCTCACCAGAATGAAAGGATACCAGCCTTCCGAGCCACATTCTGTCAGCATGCAAAAAACGTTTTAACAGCCTGTGGCAGTACTTCTGATTGGTGTTTTTTTGTTACATTTTTAAGCTTTTTATATTTTGCCCCCACATTCAAAATAAATAAATGTAAAAGACATTTTGGCCAGTCAAGTTTTTGGAATGCTATAAAATTCTTTACTCTCAAAGCAGGAGCTTTGTTTTTAAAAAGATATATATTTTAAGGAACTCAAAGTAGATTTCCTGATTTGAATGAACAGTTTGTCACCGGAATTAAAAAAAAATACATATATGACTCAGCTATTTTAATAGTGCTAATGAATCCAGCCTTTTATATGAAACATTAAACATATAGCCATAGGAAAAAAAAAAGTGCACGGTTGTGCAAGTCAGTTTGGTTATTTTGCTTCTAATAGATGTTTTTAAAACAAAGACACTGTTAAGACACTTATATGCTAGCAAACAAAATATTTCTCATGTGCAATTTAAAGCTTCGCCCACCCTGTTCAGAAATTGCTTTTTCCAGACTTTGCATATACACAGTTACTTGCACTAGTATTGTACGTTTCCCATTGGGTACCTGTCTCTCCTGACAGCCGGTATGAAAGAAAATTAACAAAAGAAAAACAAAACAAAACTCACTTATTTTCTCCCCCAAAACACACACATAAAAATGAAGAGAAACAGCAGTAGCTTTTTTTTCTGTCTTTTTTTTTTGTTGTTGTTGTTTAATGTTACTATTTTTGTGAAGACAAGAGTCAATTCAACAAACACGTTACATGTCACTCAAGGGTTTTCCTCCTGGCTCTGGGAGTCAGGCTGCATAATTAGTGCCTCATTCATCAGAAATATTTGTGGGTTACATGTGAGCAGGAGAATGTGGGCAGCTTCAAGCAAACGGATGGGTCAATATCAGTTCAAGGGAAGGGCTCTTTTCCCTCTGTCTGAGGACTTCGGTTTTGGTGGCAGAAACGGACCTGATGCACTAGAAAAATAACTGCTATTTTGGGTGCTTTCATGGCCTCCAGTTCTTCATTTTTTTTATCAAGTAAACATTTGCCAGCTTTTTTTCTTATTGTAAACAAGATCTTTCAAGAATCTCACACCATCCACATGAATATTATGACGCCTCAGAAAAATCCATGTAACTGCTAACATTGTTTACATGGTAAATATTTGCATGGCACCACAAAAGCTTCATGCATATGTTGCAAAAGTTGCTGATTTTTTCTTGCACAGACTTTAACTCTAGATGCTAGATGTGTCGCATATGCAACCCATATTGATGTAGTATTTATTATAACCAGAGTAATAAATAGTTGCATAAATTCCTATAATTGACCAGAATGCAAGTTAAAGCTGCCTGCAGGCAGCTCTGTTATCTTTCCAGCTATTTGAGAAAGTTCTCTTTTTTTAACAGACCTACTCTGCTATAGTCTTTTGAGCTCAAAATATCCTTTTCCACCTTTTTGGCATTCACATGCTTCAGGGCATAATGTTAGCTATTTGTGCACAGGGGAAAGGAGACTTCAATGAATACCAAAACCACAGAATTAATTAGGTCTTAGTACAGTCTGAACTTTTTACGACTAAGTTCCACAGAAACCTTAACACAGCATAATTCTTCATGAACTTAGCCCTAAATTTAAGTAATGGTTTTACAAATCTTTCAGGAAATCATTTTTTTGGTATCTCTAGTCACTCTTTAAAACTGCGTAACCAAGGATGGCTCCACAGAGATTTTATGTATTAGCAATACAAATTATATTTAAAATATGAAAAGTGCTGAGCAGCTTGCCTGGATGCCAAAGGTTATTAGTGTTTCAAATGAAATGTTTATATGGGTAGCTTTTTCTTATGTAGACCTGCTGTGCATTTAAAAGTCTTCCTATCGATTTCTACAAGCTGACTATGTTTGCCTCCTGCAAGTTTACCTTTTCATACCTCACTCCTTTTTAATTTTTTTAAAGAGCTCCAAAAGACTAGAATACTCCAAGGGCATGCTTTCTGTGACTACTGTCTGTAATAAGTTTTACATTTGCAAGTGTGTAAAATTCATTCCATTTAAGACCATTTAAAGAGAAATGTTTTGTTATGATTGTGTATCTTCTCCTAACTGGAAAGCTTTTAGTCTGTCAGCATGCTGCATCTTTATGTCTTCAGTTCCAGCATGTCAGATTATTTGCATTGTACAACTTTTTCTTTTTTTTTTCCTGCTAAAAGGGAAATACCTTTGTAAGAACAACACAAATTTGTTGTTCCATGTGAGGAATTCTAGCTTTCAAATTCCTTCTGCATTTTGTGTTGTATCATTTCTTTCTGGTTTTACAGCTCTAGAAACATAGGCACTGGCCCTAGAGAATACCCCATAGTAAAAACTTTGCTTTTGCCTTGTGCTTTTATTCATAAGTGCAAATCCCTTCCAACCTTTAAGTTGCAGCTGAGAAAAACTGGAGACCAGGTATAAGCAAAAAGCAAAGGATAACGCTGGAAATCTCAGTTTATCCTTGCAAAATGCTTGTCCTGCTATAGTATGTATCCTGGCTTTCCACTTATGCTGACTTACCCAGATTCCTTAAGAGCCTTTCTCTGTCAGGGCTAATTTCACCCCATTGCTCTCCCCATGAGCGGGGATGGAAATAAAGGCAAAGAAGTTACCAGGCAGCAGTTGAGATTTCCACCAGCCAATCTGTTAAGCTGAAGAATAATGCCCTTGAGAATGGCTCTCTCCCACATCCACGTGCAAGGGACCTTCCCAAATGAGGTGGCAAAGGGGCTTTGTCACAAGAGTCAGGTGGCATACACGTTTCCCTCAATCCCTGTAACTGGAGAGCGAAGCCTATTTTTGCCCACTTATGCCATATCAAGAATATTCAAGGTGAAGATGTTTCCTATGCCTGCTGCGTATCACATAACTTGCACCCAGTAAAAAAGCCCTAACTTACGGAGCCTGAAAAGTTGCTTATTGCTCTATCACACGGATGCCAGACAGAACCTTCAGCCTGTAGGGCCTGCCATGCATTTCCACAGCTGCTCTTGCCCTGCTACCAGTGACACATTGCTGCTCTTCTCTTTCTGTTCTCTTTCTGCAGGCAAATGGTGCAAACTCATCTGCCAAAACAGCAATAAACAGAAGCAGCAGCCAGCAGAAAACATGAAAGAGGAAGATGATGAAGATATATCCAGTATTTGCCTTAGGCCTTCAGAGACATCCCACAGAAGGATTCTTTTTGAAGGAACTGCAGCATCCACACATCAGCCTGCTGAACTGCAAAACACTGTCAGCAGTGAACAGAGAGTTAAAAAAAAATCACACATCACAGCTGGCATAATTAAGCAATTAAAAACCTCAGTGCAGGCACAAATGTGCTGCTCTGTGTTAGCTTAGGAGTGGTTTGAAGAGTCTGAACAGCTAAAGCAGCAGGGACACTGCAGGTGCCATGGACAGGGGGCTCCACAGGCAAAACTCTGCCCCGCCAGCTACGCTCTCCAGTGCAGACGTGCTCTTAGCTGTGAAATGTGACTCACAATTAAGCCACATGAAGCCAAGCATATGCACAACCCTCCCTTCACCTCCGCTGTCATTATCTGGGTTACCCACGCTATGGCTCAGAGGTTATAAAACACTGGAGAGTCTGAAACAGCAGACAGAAACCTTGGCAAAATCTGGAGCAGGCTAAAGCTAGCTGAGCTCATTTGACCTTATTTAGCATCTGCAGGCACCCTTGCTCCCACCTCCTTCCTAACCCCTTCTCCTGTAGCTGCCCTGTGGATGGACTTTGCACCCTGGGGGAGGAGGGAGGTCAAGGAGGAAGAACGCAGGGAAAGTAAAACAAAACCCGTGTTTATTGACAGAGCTATTGTCAGAGTTGCTTTCATTGCTCAGAGTGCAAGGGCTGCTATGCTTGAACTCCTTCTCTGCATTGCAAGTGTTTCTGGCCCTTTCTTGTAATGAAGAACTAAGCAGCTACATCTCACACGAGCTGTGAAAGGAGTAAATGTGCGCTGCACTCCCTGATGCAGCCTGCTTCCCTAATTCTCAGTGCAGTGTCCAACGAGTGCATCAAATTAATGGTCTATAAATAAAGAAATATGTCTGTAGATAGGAAGCCTGGGAGCTGTTCTCAGTGCAGCCTGGGGAGGTTGTTTAGGCTAGTGGCTTTATTAGGGAAGCGATAGCTAGGGAAAAGTAAAATTGTTTCAAAGGTGTTGTCGTAACAGAGAGATAGGACTTGTTTGGCACACAGCGTGGACTGTCTAGCTCTGAATGAGTCACCTGGAGTTCTTTTTTGTTTTGCTTTCCTGACACTTTTTATTGTTATTGTACTTAGTACAGGGATTGCGGGGACAAGAAAAGCAGAGCCTGTTGTAGCTCTGCACTAGTAGGCAATGAGGAAAGTAGAAGAGAAACCTTTCTGAACCTTCTAAGCCACAGGGCGGCATTGCTGGTAAAGCACAAGTATCTCTTGTGCCAACTTTGCAGGAAATAGCAGCTCTGTTTTAGTATTCTGTGGGGAGGCTCACATTATGCCCAATGCTACTGCAGCCGAGCACCTTCCAGCAGATCCCATGACTAGTGCTGTTATTCACCAACCTCCTTTTCTGTCTCTGCCCTCTCTCCCCTTGTAGAAATGTGTACATGATGCATGTTGTTTGTTTTTCGATTTGAGAATATGCAAGGGCAAAAAATGCATACATTGCTTTTTGAAAAGGAAAATGGCCAACATCTGAGGTGCTTAATATTTGGTGCTGCTTTGGGCCAGCTCAAGAGAAAGATATTCCCTGCATCTTGCCTTTGCAGTGTTTGTGTTCTTGGTGGCTGGAACGTGGCAGAGATGCCAATGAGCTTTCAGCAGCTTTGCTGAAAGCTCTACTTGGCCCTACTTTCTCCCTCTCTTTCTCTGCAGCCCGCTAAGTACTGACCGACGCAGATAGGCCCAGGCTGCAGTCGCAGATGATGAGCAGAATAGAGCCTAGTACCAGGTGACTGCAGGTCATCTTGGACCACTTTAGGGGAAAAGGAAGGTAGCAAAGAATGTCTGGAGGGTGGTGACCTCATTTCCTTGCTATGAGTGTTTTGTGCCTGGCCATGGGCCAGAAGAAGGAGGCAGCACTGCTGGGACAAACCCGGCCACGGCAAACCTGGCAGTGTCTTGGTAGGAAAAGGCATGAAGCAGGGTGACTGCAGGTAGCCTTCTCAGATAACACAGAGCCAGTGTCCTAGGCGCTTACCTCTGTTCTCTTCTGGCAGGTGGGAGGCGCATGAGAGCCTTAGTCCTAATCCCAGGACACAGAGGTGCCTGGCCAGAGGCAGACAGCCCAGGCCAGGACAGCGCAGCCCAGCTGGAGCCCCCCAGCGGAGTTCTGGCAAAGTGTCAGTGGAGGCCAGATTGCAGATGAGGAGGCACCCATCCCCTGTTGCTTTTGGTGTCAGACTAGGAGCTCAAGCCCATGAAGAATATCGTGCAGTGTGCCTGAACACTGTGCTGGGAAGTCCTTGGCTCTGGCGTGTGGCAGGAAAGGATTCCTGAAAACCAGCTTCCCAGGAAGTGCCCCCATTTCTTGCAGCTATGGTGAAAAGCTACTGCCCTGGAAAGCACTAGCTGCACTCTCAGCTGCTGCACAGCAGATAGACAGTGATATTTATAATTATTAAAATGAGGAATGTTTCTGTAAACTGTAAATATCAATTCCATCAACAAAAACCAGGTTCTGATCTACAGAAATGAGCCTTTTTGCAAGGCTGATTGGGGAGCATGCTCTCATGTGCATGAGTATACACTGTGATGTGGGTGTATCATCTTCCCTCCTTTCCTTCCCAGTCTGACTGTGGTTCAGTGTCACGTACGCACTACAAAAGCAGTTAAAAAGTGCAGTGCCACAAAAGAGCAGTGCACCAGACAGCCATTGTCAGGCTTGAGCTCTACAGCTTGTACCAGTGACTTCCCACTTCCATATGAAACCCAAAGCTGGTGCCAAGAAACTGCAGGCAGATTTTATGCTGCATTTCCCTCCTGCCAGGCTTGGAGATGAGGCTATCCTCTGCTCCCTGCTTCCACCGCTGAGCCTGCCAGCTACCACCTCAGCTCTTCCAGGAGTAATGGCAACTGGAAGCCAGCAGGGCAAGCAACTGTTCTCTTCTTCTTTCTCTGAAATGATTGCCTAAAGGAGAAGGAAAATGTGGGAGAGGGGACAAGACATGGGCTAAATCCAGGTTCCCAAGCCACAAGGAGCTTCTTCTCTGTTTTTGGCTGGGATGTTGCCACTACCTCCTTTTTATAACCTCTGACTTTCTGTGCAGGAAACATTTCTTCTTAGCACTTGCAAGGTTCTATGTTACCTTACAGACTTGCTCATGCTGGCACGCTGGGTATCCAGCTCTCCTATCTAGCAAACCTTTCAGTAACTTCCCTTACAGGCTTCTTCTTTGCCCAGAGCAAAACAGGGACTGAAAAGGACAGATGGAGGGATGGAGGTAAAGTATGTCTGGATGAGGGAAACAAACAAACAAACAAATAAAAAACCCTAAACAACAACAAGAAAGCAAAAACCTCATCAGGAAAAACAAAGCTCAGGAATCAGTTATCAGAAGAGGCATATTTCCCTCTCCTCTACCACTCCCTGCTACAGTGTCCTGCTAAGGTCAGACCTGCTCCGCTTCTGCTCCTGCCGCCAAAGAGCTGGATCTGAGTGCGGCTTCACCCAGCCCTGGGGTACCTTGTATAAAACAAGAAAGCAGGACAGTGTAAAGGAAATTATTTAATAGCGCATCTTAAATAACATGAACATGTCAACATGTGAACAATTTACACCTGCTGAAGGTCGCACAGAATATCCTGCTGTGTTTTACCATATAGTCAGTGCATATGTTTGGAAAATAGAAACAAACATTGTCCCATTAGGTGCTTCAGTATATAATCCAGGTTTAGACTTTCCTTTTTAAGAAACAGTTTGACATTGAAATGGATGTGCAAAAGCAACATGATATATAAACAAAACAGGTTTTAAATAAGTTCCTAAGTGTGTTCTCTACTGAAAGCTATTTTTTTCAAATTCAGTTTTACGTCTATAAATATATTGTACAAAAATGCAAGTTTACAAGCCATTTCTCCCAATAGAGTTATGCCTTTTGATGTTTTAAGTAGCAACATTCCTCCAACATAAGATGCATACATATAAGAGGAGCAATAATATTAAGTATTTACATATCTTTACATATAACATTATGAAGTGTTTGAGGATATAAATTAGTAACAACAGACAAAAATACATTTACTGTGAAATAAATAATTCAACAGCTTTACATACAAGGGTATCTATAATATTATACAAACATAATATACAAGACCATAGGACTTAATCTTGCAGTTGCTCATATCTGACTACCCCTTGAGCAGATGAATAATCCCAGTGCAGTGGAAAAGCTACTTGATGGGGTTGATCCTATACCAAAACTCAGGTGCACATACACTACCCCAGCTGAAACAGCTCCTAGCTGACAGCTCAATCAGGCCCTGTGGAAAGCATGGCGTGAATGAACGCATTCAGTTTTACTCTGGTGAACTGAGGTACTGTTGGCATTCAGCATCTCCTTTCGGCTCCAGAGATCCAGGGATTCTCTTCCCATTTGTTGGGTAGACACACCAGCACGCAGCAGACTCTCCATCCAGGGAAGTTTCACACTAGAACGATTTGGAAAACCAAATCCAGAATAAGCAACAGCAAATGAAAAGTGAAACACTACAAGTATGTGTGTTTGGACAGATTTAGGATCAGAAACTGGAGAACTGTTATGCACAGACTACTTCTTAGAGTGCAATGCTCTATTCTGACAGAAGCCTCTAACCAACATGTTTGGCTAGGGAGCCATGATCCAACCTGAACTCCCTCTCATACAGCAACTTCAGATTTAAAAGATTTTGCTCACTCCTTGATGGACAATAGTGTGAAACAGCAAGATGGTCTGCTCTGAGAAGTAGAGAGAAGGCAGGTTATATGGCAGGCAGTGAGAGCTATATGGCTGGCAGTGAATTTGGGGCCCGGCTTCATAGATAGAGATAGGGCTCTCTTGGGGACGAATGAGACTTCTGTATATGCCTCATTAGATTGCAGGTGGCACGTCCCACACTGAGGAGGCACGGTGACATCCATCTCTGCAGAGCAGTGAAAGCCACCTGCCTGGCCTGTGGTATGCGAATGTGGGCTGAGGCGTGGAGCGAATACTGACTGTGCAGATTAGCCTTGCTGTGACTCAAAATGGCTCCTTTGGAGGCCGTAGTGTGTAACGAGTAGTGTCATTGGTAATATAACACGTAAAGCAGCACAGAAGAGGATTTTTGCTCTGCTTTCTGAAGCCTGCTCTTGCTCCAAAGAGTTTTACTACTGCTAATGTGTGGAGCTGAGCGCTTCAGATACTGTATTTTCAGGGTGGATATTACAAATGAATGGTGGCAGAGGCTACCATGCTTGTGAAACAAGGAGCTTGATATGGCCTGGGTGCATGCAGGGTTAAAAATCTTTTGGAGGAGGCCTTGTGTGCACCTGTTCTGCTCATGAAAAAGCCTCCTGCCCCCCTTCCTGTAGCCTGGGGCGCGCAGCTCACTTTTAAGAGAAGATGGACAAACCACCTGCTCCCACTGCTAAGCACCCCTGTCCTCGCAACCTGCTCCGGCAGCAGCTGCAGAGGCGGGATTTGGAGGGGGGGTGCAGAGCGAAAGGCCAGCCGTCACGGGGCTGTTGGTGGGAGCAGGCACGTACCTGCCTGCTGTGGTAGAAGCCGCTCTTGCTGCAGTTGGGCAGGTAGAATTTGTAGATCTCCCCTCCACTTCTCTGTTGAGCCATGACCAACTTGTGCAGGGCTCGGTAGAGCTCCTTCTGGCACGGTCCCTGGAGCAAGGCAATCAATGCACATGGTGTCAACAGGGAAATTGCAAAGAAACCTGGCGAACCTAAACGTGACTAGTTCTGAAGCCGGTTGGAAGCTGAAAAACAGCTATTAGTCATGAAATCTGTACTGGGACTGCCCCGCATGCAGTTTCTACTTGTTTCAGTAGGAGCATGGGCCGGGAAAATCTGGCCTTTTGTTTTCATTCTTTCAGGTATTTTTCTGTCTGCAGAAACACAAGGATTTAAGTCCTCGGGTTCCCGCACAAGGAAATTTAACCTGCGCTGAGTAAACACATTAGTGTTTGGAGGGTACAAGCTCTCCTATTATGGGGAGGTGCACGTCGGGCGGCTGGCGTACGTGAGGCCGGCCACGTCTGCCGGGTTGCCATGGTCCTGCACTCTGTTGACGTACGGAGAATAGGTGCACTGCGAATACAGGCAGTGCGAGAGCAAACATCTGCGTGTTTGTTATCTTTTGTGCAGGGGGCACGGCCGACACTGAAACAGCTCAAGGCTGTGGCTCTCCCACTTGCATCCACGTTGCCAAGACTGAGGGGTCAAGGAGGGCTAGTGATGTGCGTGCCATCCCCTACATGCCTTTTAGTGCTTTGGAAGTCAGAATTGCCATCCACTAACAGTCTCCAATATATTTGAGTGGAAGGGACTTTGAAAATATTTCTGGTTCTGAAAGGAAATCAGATTTTGCCCTCTGCTTGTGCCAGGCCTTCTCTCAAGCAATCAGTCTCCTGCAAGTCACTGGGTTTACTCTTGCTCGTAGTTCAGAGAAGCAGAAGTTGTTAAAATGTAAATTGGAGCTTACAGGGCTTTTATCTGAAAGCTCAAAACTAGCTCTGAATATCGAACAGCTTCCTAGTTTTTTTTTTTTTTTTTTTTTTTTTTTTTTTTTTTTTGATCTGTATTGTGACCATGGCCATACAAAACAGGGCCTCATGCCACCCTGGCACATGACCCAGGGCAGTTGCAGTGGGATGCCAACAAGGGCACTAACTCTGGTTCTCTGGTGCCCTCACGTGGAATCAGGACCCACCTGCTTTCTAGTGCTGCACTCCCATAAGGAGCAAGCTCGCTGCTCTGGCTTGTGGTGGGCTGCTGATGTTGTCCGCACTCGAGTTGCGCTAGGGAACGCCTTTGCATGTCGCAGAGCATGCGACCAGGCATAAACGCCTCATTTTTTTTTAAATAAAGGCCCCCAAACATCCAAGATTGTAGGAAATATTTTTGGAATTTAAGGGCCCGTGTTATAGTCTGGTATCAATTGCAGAGCAAGATTCAGCCTCTGCAAGGAGTTTCTGTAACTTCACAAACTGAGGCTTTTACAGCTGCTCCCGTTCTGACTTTTTCTTGGGCATCTTCCAAAAGAGGAAGTCTGCTTGCTGGCTCCCAAAATATTGACCTCTTGGGGCTGCTGGTAGAGTTTCGTGCACATTTTCATTCAGTATTTCAAATCCATAGCAGCTACTGAAACATTGCTTGAAAGACTTGCAAGAAAACTCACCTGCTCTCTCCATTTCTTGAGCTCAGATATTCTTTTTGCTTTCATGTTTTCATATGTGGAGATGGCGTTCCAGGGGATGGATTTGTCCTGGCTGATGGGAAACATCAACTGCTGGCTCAGCAGCTGATCCTGGGTCATTTCCGTGCTTTCTAAAGTCATATCCTCAGATTCAACAGAGTCTGGAAAGGAATGACAGGAAGATGGAAATGTTTAGTGAGCTTCTGCCTTTACTTCTCCAAGGAAAAAAAGAAGAAAAATAGGGGGAAAAAAAGATAAAAATGTTATATCTAAGATCAGCTTCAGCATCTCTTGCAAGAATAGCAGTTTTCATGGGCAGTCAGTAATATATTCATTAATATATTCATCCACTGTTCTCTAAAAGCTGGTTAATTTATCACTTTCTAGAATCTCTCATCTACCCAAGAGGGAGCTGAAAGTAGCCTGTTAGAAATGAAAAGTCTTCCTTGATTACAGTAGGTAGAAGGCATTATGCTAAATGAGGAAAGACTGAGTTCAAACTTGTAAAGCATTTGGCATTCGGAATGATGAGTTTTGGTGTCTATTAGGAAAGGGAATTGCTTCAGATCCAATGGTGCAGCATCCTTTAACGTGTGCTGTGCTTTGACTCACTGGGGCAGCTGTCAATCCTGCCAGCCTAACGAGGGTCCGAAATCCAGGGCCTGGAAGAAGTTGTGCAGACCTGAGCGTGTGGCACCCATCAGCCCCACTTGGAGCATGCAAGCACTCCCATGGGAGGCAGCAGGAGCTCTTAGCAGCCATGGGGATGCTAGCGGGAATGCTTTGGCACATGCTTCAATAACTAGTTGAGTTAAAACTCGAAACAATGAGGCAAGAGTCAGTACTAGAAAAAAGTTAAGGACGATCAAGGAGGGAAATTAAAAAGGAATTAAAGGAGAGGAAGAGCAATATCCAACACTGACCGAAGAAGGTGGTTTAAGCACTGAGTCTAGCATCTGTTCTCCCAGCCTTCACCCTAAACAGGAATATCTTCACTGCTTCCACCAATAGCAATGCAATTTTTATTCACCCAAGATTAATTTTGCAATGCTATACCACTGATTCCCTTTAACAACTAATAGGTGACCATACAGGCATGATGCTGAAAAATAAAAAGAAATAATAAATCGTGGAAGCAATGCTTCCTGCTCAGAGAGAGATGGGCTAACACCGCATCGCTGATGGTACCTGTGGGCTTGTCGGCCTCGGCAGCAGGTGCGCAGGTGCCCTGTCCCCGCAGCAAGGCACGCAGCGGGCCAGGCTGCTCCGGTGGCACGCGGCAGCGGAGCCCACGGGCGCAGCGCGCTGTGTACACCCCGCAGGGTTGCCCTGGCCCCAGGGCACAGGTCTGACAGCAGCCACAGCCAGGCTGTCGAGCCGTCTCAGGGCAGCTGGCTGCCACCAGCGGGCACTGGGCCAGCTTCTCCGGTGTGCACGGGGCGCAGTGGGATGGCAGCGGGCCCACACCATCAGCCAGGCCAGGGCCCAGCAGCACTGGCGGTAGCAGCAGCAGCCAGGGCAGCAGAGAGTGTCCACCAGGCATGGCAGGAGTGAGCGACGAATGGGCCGAGGGCAGCTGGGCACACGGAGGAGCAGCAGCAGCAGTTGTTTTGAGGACCCTGGGCTCTCCCAGGCCATTTATACAGTTCTGTGTCTGGCTGTTAATCTTTAACTCCCAAGTTAATGATTATCTGGCCAGGAGAGCTGGAAGAGCATCATTTCACTGGCTGTTTGTGTCCCTGACCAGCTTCCCCTCCCCTTTCACTTTCCTCCTTTATCTTTTTTTTTTTTTTTTTTTTTTCATTTTTCCCCCTTCCCCTCCAGACATCCAGGAATGCTTTTATTCTCTTTCCCCACCTCCAGCACTGCTGTTAACAGGGAAAAAATGTGTGTGTGGGGGGGGGGAGGGGGGAAGAGAGGGGAAGGAGCAGAGGGGAGGGAATGATTTGCCTCCCCTGTGGCTCATTGCAAGTGTCTCCTTTTCTTGCCGTTTGATTAAAAAATAAAAGTGTTGGGAGTGGGGGAGAAATTGAGGAGGGAAATCCCATTGAAATGCAAGCTGTCTGTGCATTTCTACAGCAACTCGTGCAACAAGCGAGTGATTTTCATCATGTGGCAGCAGGTTAGGAGGACACCGACCTGCCGAGCCCTGGCCTGGGCTGTATGCAGCAGCGGGGGAGCTGCAGCCACCGCCCCTGTGCACGCAGCACGCGTAGTGCACGGCTAAGCTGTCTGCAAGCAGCTCCTGGGGACAGGGGATGTTCCCAGGCTTCTTTCTCCCTGCCCGTCACCATCTCCTCTAATTTCACCCCCCAAAAAGAAAAAAAGATTTCCCAAACTATCCTGCTTTCCACGCGGCAGTTGCTATTACAATAAAAGCAGAAGTACTCAAACTCTACTATGCTGAAGGGATAATTTTATCCTGGAATTTGTAGTATGTACTAAGCTGCAAATAGCAAATTCCACTGTCATCTAATGCAATGTTTCTTTTTTAATGCATTTAGTTCGCTTTTGTAAAATGCATCATTTGTGTGAGAGTGAGGCAAAGCTGCAGAGCAATGCTTTATATTTTATTTTTTTATTATACTTCCACTCTCACTAATTTATTATTATATTATTCATGCTTTACTTAAATGGTAGTACTTTTAGTATTCATGCTTTACTAATGGTAGTGCTTTTAGTGGATTTTAACCTGCTATATTCATAACTTAGTTCATAAAAAGTATTCTTATCAGCTACAGACATTTATAACTGGAAGAAGCTTTTTCACCTAGGCACCTCATCATATCATTTTTGGATGTCCAATCTTTTAGCAATTTGATGGAAAAAGAAAAGAAAAAGTGTGTCCCCTCTGGATACCCTAAGGGGTGGCAGCACTCAAAATCAATTTATATTTTGAAGCATATTAAACAAAACTAGTTTTACAGATTTTTAAAGAATTCTGAGGGAATCACATTTCTGTGACTGGGATCAGATTCTGTCTGACAACCTGGGGCACAATAGTTTCTGTGAAAAGCAGGTAGGCTTTTCAAGCTCTAATGCTCCACTTTCCTATGTAAAGTAGAGCCAATTGGAAGATGATAAAGACCCAAAGAGAGCATATGTATGTACATATACACATATATTTGTTCATTTATGTAGCTACGCACATGTATTTCTTCTTTTATGTTGCTTCTATATAGACAGAATGGAGAGTTGTGACTAAAGAGTGAAACTCAATTTGAGCTCTCTGTTTCATGCCTGAGCATGTGGACACAAAACACCTATGTAATAAAGGCTGGTATCACAAAACTGCCATTAGTCTACAGGAATCTCCATCTTCCAAAGCACCATTTTCCAGCTTTTGGCACATTTCATTTTGTTCACTTTTCTCTGCTGTGGGGCAGCTGGCAGTATCTGATTGCCTGAACATTTCCTAACAATTGGAAGCTACTTAGAAAACAGATTTTTTTTATCTTATCACTTAATGATAAGCAGACAAAACCTCACAGATTATGCAAAATTCTGAAGGTGCTTTTGTTTTGCTTCCTTTATAATCACAGGTGAGCTCTACATGATGGCCTGACCTGTACTATTTTCTGGCCTTTGTACATCCCAACTGAGGAAACTTAAAGCTCTACTGCAGCAGACTTTGCCTGTAGATGCCTATCTACAGGAAAGCCAGACACCTATAAATCAGTCCTGTCATATTTTGTTTGTGTAAACATAACCCACATCCTTCAGAACAGGTTGTGATAACTTAGGACAGCCTCAGTCAACAAAGCAATGTTTTTGTGTAGGCCAGAAGACATCAATGAAGGTAGTGTATATGTTTATGTAGGTTCTGTTTGATGTAATACTACAACTCATATACCAATCTTCATCTTTGACCCTGACATTGCTTTAAAGAACACAAACAGATAAGAGTCAGGAGGTTAAAAACATCCGCGATGCAAAGTTGTGTTTACTGAAGGGTTTTGACAGTAATTTTTAGGTGTTCCAACTTATGGCCTCTAATTTGAACCACTTGTCAGGACATACCACATGAATCCTAATCAAGGGTTATTTTTCTACAAGGCTTTTCTCATTGGTTTCTCAATAATTCTTAGCCAATTACCTCATTTTGAAAGTTAAATAAAGTTTGTTTTGCTTTTTATTTTTTTTCTTTAAAGGTTCATGGAGTGGTTTATAGTACATAAAGTTCTATAAAGGTTTATGTGCAAGCTATCCTCTAATCACCAAAAATTTAAATGACTTGCCAAATAATATCCTGTTAGGACTGTTTCTCTAAATATGTTTTAAAGCAAACAAACAAACAATAGAATATCCTCCTTATTTCTGTATAGGCAAGAAGCTGATCCTGAATTTAATATCCAAATCTCCTATGTATAATATATGTACATATACATACAGAGAAAAGCAGCTGTGTTAGAAACACAGAATAACTACACCTTCTTCTCCTTAATTTGCCCCACATCAATGATGCTTTCTTTTGGTCATGCAGATTGCTAAAAACTGTTAAAAAATGAATAATTTAAGTGTTCATTGATCGTTTATTTTCATAGTTCTCACTTTCTAACAATAACAATAACATGCATACTCCTTGATGTTATTTTTCTAGCCTGGTTAGTTAAGGGGGTCTTTCAGAATTACATTCCAGATACAGATAATCAGGTGTTTCAGGTTTGTTCTTCACTAATATTGTCTAACTTTTGCAGACTGACATTTGCTAGAAAAAGGGATAAATTGCTAGAATAAAAATTTTAAAACACCTTACTGATTGGGGTGCAGAAACTCAACAAAGTCACTAGTGGAGAGGAAAAGTGAGAGGCTTGCTTCATCTCTGCTGCTTATACAGGGGCGTTCCCCAGGATCACCCACAGAAACTGAGGGATTTGCTGGCAACCAGATTAGTTCAACAGAGGATTTTTAAAATTTTACTGATCTCTCCAGTGCCGGCTGCAAGCACCTAAGCTATCCTCAGCTGTTTAAATGCCTTTGTGTGCTTCAGCCCTGGTGTCCCTGCAGGTCTGTGAGAAGGAGTGCTTGCCATTGAGGCAGCAATCTGGCTCTGCCGCTTTGCTACAACCTACAGATTCTGACTGAAAGAAAGCACGTCTTTATATCCTTTAAACAATGCTAGTAAGAATAGCGATCAAGTCATAGGACCTAGAACACAGTAGGTCAAGAGGGTCGTATGCTCTTGGTGGCACATGGTATTGGGGGAAAAACATGCCTGAACTACAGCTAGAGCTGCAGCATTGGAAACAGAGGTGTCTTGGAGGCTCATCCCCTTCAGTCTCAGCAAGAGAGGGCAAGGGGATAGGAAGGCTGTTATGGTCACCAAAATAATGTTCTGTTAAAACAGGGCATTCCTTAGCCCATTTATAATTGCTTTGCATATTTAGTCTGATCATCCTTGTGCTGATACTTGCAAAAAAAGTCAAATAGTTCGCCTAGCTTCTACTTTGACAAAAAATCTGCTCCTGCACTTCTGATTCCAGCAATACTATCCTTATTAATTATTATTATTACTAATGTTGTTGATAACAATTTGGGTATTTTTTTTCAGGTTTCTGCTTCTCCAGAGGATGGGGAATGGAAAATGTCATTTCTGATCATTTTGGAGAGCTACAGGCTTGCACAGAGAAGGAAGCTGCTCTGGGAAGCCAGGGCCACCGCTTTACTCAGGTGGTCAAACATCACTCCGCTGAGTTAGCCTCTCATCATTTAGCAAGCGTGAAAGCTTTTGATGCCCACTGTGAACTTAATCTATGTGCATGTACTATTTCAAGCTCTTAGGACTGGACCCGCCATTAATCAGTTGCCCCCGGGGGATATGTCCTACATGTGGGCAAACTCATCTCAGCAAGCACTGAGGAGGAACCTGCAGCCCCTAATACAGGGCTGAAGCTGCCACTTACCAACGGAATGTTTGGAGCTATGCAGGGCCCTCCAAGCCAAGCATGTTTTTTTGCAAACAGAGGCCTGCAGGGGTTAATCCAACCTGTTATTATACCAAAATCACACCGTTGATAAGACTAAATGTCACACGAATATTTGCCTGACCTACTGTATAAATAAGCTCTGCCATCAAACACAGAGATCACACAGTTACTGGATTAAAAAAAAATCAATATAATTAATGTATAATGAAAGCAAAAAGCAAAGATTAGATTGCCTAAGCACTTTGTTACAGATGAAAGCAGAGCACCTCTCTTCACAATAAAACTTTTTGACTGCATTCAATATATCAGCAGGATTTTCACTTCTGTAGCAAAACCATGTGGAAGAGAATAAAATTTCTAGGGTCCACATAGTAGTGACTATGGGTCACAGGTGAAAATTTAGATAGTCACAGAAGGGAATTATTGAAAATAATAGAAGTCAAAAGCTTCTCCTGAAATCTTTCTAATGAGGTATATGTAAAAATGCCTAAATGGGCAATTACACATTCAAACCTTTAATTTGACTTTTGTTGTTTTTTTGTTGCTGTTATTATTACAATTGGTCGGTCATTCACCAGGACATGTTTGTTTACAAAACACTCCCCTCCACTCACAGAGCCTCCTTTTT